GCCTCAATAAATCTTTTTCGGAGATTGCATGATAATGGCAGTAATGATATCTGACACTTATACAGTGTTCTAAGTGCTTTATATAAACTTTATATAAAATCTCTATGAAGGAAGTACCATTTTTGTCCACATGAGAAACTGAAGCATATGTAAGTTAAAGCTCATGTAAGAATGGCAGCATGAGAATCCAACCCGGGAGCTCTGGGTCCACTCTGCATTTTTATAAAACACTTTCTGTATATATTTTATTTATTTACTTATTTATTTAATTCCATTTGTTATTATTATTTTTTAATTTAACCAGAGAAAGAGAGAGAAAGGGAAAGCGAGAAAGCAAGCTTCTAGATCCAGGACTTGAACTGTGGTCAGCCATATAGGAATTCAGCACCCTCATCCACCATGCCACCTGCCAGTCCCCAACAATGCATTTTTAACCACTTTCTTGTAATGCTTCAAAGCAACAAAAATTAAATTTACTCTATTAGCAGGTCTCATACTTTCTGTGTGCTGGATAGTATCCTATCTTTAGAGTATGTGGTAACAAACAAGATGGGCATACTCCTTGCCCTTCAGAAAGTTGTAGTCTGGGGAAAGATATGGAATTTGTTAGTTGAGGGGATTATGTGCATGGATTCCTCAGTTTGATGGACACTCAGAAGCTCAGAGTGGGATGTGCAATGATACCTCTGAGATGTATAAGTTAACCTTTCTCTCAATCACGAGTCCTAATTATGCAGACACTCATAGACAAGCACTCCATTTCAAGGCAACTCTAATTATTAAAGAATTCCTCCCATTAATAAAAATAGAGAGCTGGGGAACCAGCAGTTAGCGTAATGGCTATGTCGCTGGACTCCCACTTAGTCGACTGCGGTTCGTGTCCTGGACCCGGAGGCTTAAAACTCACGCCGGGCGCGTGTGCGTGCGTGCCCAAGATCCCGAGAGGAGAATGGAGGAGAAGGGATTGTGGCGTGACCATCCCCCCTGGGGGGTGATTTCTCGCTTTCTGTCTCTATGTCTCTCTCTGTCTGGCAAGCGCATGCGCCCTACAGTGAAAATCTCTCAAAAAAAAAAATAGAGAGCTAGAAGATAATGTCAGTATTTTAGGACACTAACTAGCAAACATTTAAACTTCAGTGTCACCTCCTCCATATTTTCTTTATGGAGAGAATTATGAGTTTTCACTTGGTAGGAATTTTCAGCTCTATTTAATTTATGTGACTGCAACTTGTGCCACAATTTAGTAAAATACTGCTAGTTACATTGAGAATTTCCCAACTTGTAGATGGTCAAGGATTTTTCTAAGAAGGTACTGTTTATTTCCATGGGATTTAGATTTTTGAGGAGTTCCAATTTTGGATGGTGAAACCAAATTGTATTTTCGGAGGTAAACAATTCATGTCTACACTAGGTGGCAGTAGATAAAAGAGAATAAAACGTTTGCCAGTGAGCCTAAGATTGATAGGAAAATGAGTCAACCTCTGGTTTCATTATCTGCCTTAACTCTAGACTCAGAACTAACAGGAGGCTGTGTTTGTTTTCTGCTTTGTGGAACAGCCAGAAGGGAACAAAGGTGGCTAGTTTGATAGTTCTCATTCCCACCCTGCACAAATTTATCCCATCTTTACTGAAACATGGCGATTACTGTAACATGTATACCTCTCTTCTATCACAATTGACTTGATAGTTACAAGATATTATTAACTCTTTTCAAAACTACAGCATTAGTGCTTTAAAAACCATTCCATTCCTTTTACCACTGACCCAGCTTTCATCATTACAGTCTGGATCACAGCAGTACTATTCTCATGGTCATCCTAAATTTATTCTTGGTATGCTTCTTGTCTCTGGCAAGGTGAAATTTATTTATTTATTTATTTATTTTTGGAGAGGTTTTTGCTGTAGGAAACATGCGCTCACCAGAAAGACAGAAAGAGACAAGGAGACAGAAAGCAAGAAATCACCCCCCCCCAGGGGGGATGGTCACGCCACAATCCCTTCTCCACCATTCTCCTCTCAGGATCTTGGGCACGCATGCACTCACACCTCGCATGAGTTTAAGCCACCAGATCTGGGACTCAAACTGTGGTCGACTACATGGGAATCCAGTGACATAGCCATTATGCCAACTCCTGGTCCCAGGTGGATTTTTTTTAAAGCGCTAAATATTAGCCTCTAATTTTCTATGCCTTCCCAAATGCCATCATTCTTAGTCCTTTGATTAATGCCCTATTAATTGCCTCTTCTTTTTGACTATCATGTGAGTGTCCTGTTGCTATCCTGAGGAACACTCTTTAGCTCATCTCTGTCTCTCTGGATTTTTGTTTGTTTGTTTTTTTTAACCTTTTTTTAAAGGAGCTATCTCATGCTGTTTCCTCCTAGCAGCCTTTCTCTCTATTTGAATACTCAGTCAGCAGTCTCTCCTTTGAGGTTCTTTCTTCAGTACACTTAGCGTTCATTCCATTCCTTTGATATAAAGTTCTGCTTCTCATTGCCCTTTGTGCACTTCTTTGTATTCGTAGTGTTTGGATTTTATTACTATTATCATTTTTGTTCTTTCTGAATTCTCAAGTAACCTTCCCCAGAGGTAGTCACTACTCTAAGTAATTATTCCCTTTCTTTTCCTTTGTAATTTTACTATATATGTTTGAATCTATAATTATTGTTTGATTTTTAAATGGTTTATAGGGTCATACTTAATATATTCCTGTAACTTGCTTTCATATTTAACATTAAAATCCTGAGATTTATACATATGAATTAAAATTAATACATTCACAAGTTACAAAAGTTGTGTTTCATTCATTTTCACTGCTGTTTTTTTTTTTTTGGAGAGGTTTTTGCTATAGGGTGCATGTGCTAACCAGACAGACAGAGACAGACAGAGAGAGACAGAGAGACAGAAAGCAAGAAATCACCCCCCAGGGGGGATGGCCACGCCGCAATCCCTTCTCCTCCATACTCCTCTCGGGATTTTGGGCACGCACACACATGCGCCTGGCATAAGTTTTAAGCCACCAAGTCCGAGACACGAACCGCGGTCAACTCCATGGGAGTCCAGTGACATAGTCATTACACTAACTGCTGGTCCCCTGCTGTATTGTATTCTAATGAATTTGCTACAGTAGTAATTTCTATAATTTGTGCACCTATTTTGCTACTGGTAGACATCTGTAGTATTTCCAGGTTTGTGGGTTTTGCCCATTACAAACAGTGCTACCATAAACAAATGTTGGCATCACTGAGCTTTCTAGTTTTTGCAATCTCATAGGTGTTAAATGGTATTTTGCTTTCATTTTCACTTTGTCCATTACTAATGTTTCTGAACATCTCCTTATATGATTAACAGTTAGGTTTTCACTTCTGTACATGTTTCTCTCACAGTTGCTGTCTTCTTCACATTGATTTATAGATTTTTCTCTTATGTATTAGAAATGTTAACTTTTTTCCATTTTAAATTTGATAATACCTCCTTCTGTTCCATTATTGGATTATTAACTTTGCAGTGTCCATTGAATTTTGATGTAATCAGATACATTAATTTTTCCCCCTTATGGCTTTGCTTTTGCAGCTTTTATTTAAGATGTCTTTCTCAGCCTCTTTACAAAGATTTTTTTTATACACTTACCTCTGTTAACTTTATAGTTGTAATTAGTTGCCAGAGGGTATATGCATACCTGAGGTAGAGAGAGAGAGAGAGAGAGAGAGAGAGAGAGAGAGATGGAGCACGGTCACACCTCAATCCCCTCCATTTCTCCACCTGATTGGGATCTGGGGCATGCATGCGTGCATGGCCAGTGTGGTTTTCAAGCTGCCAAGGCTAGGATCCTAACCACAGTCAGCCATGTGGGATCCAGCTTCTTAACCACTAGGTGGTCCTGACTTTACTGTTTTAACATAACAATTAGGTTTCTTTTTTTTTTTTATAATTATTTTATTTAACTTCATTTATTTACTTAACTAGAGAGGGACAGAGTGAGAGAGAAAGAGAGAGGGAAAGTGAGAAAGCAAGCCACCAGGTCTGGGACTCGAACCACAGTCAGCCATGTGGGAGTCCAATGCCCTTAACCACCACGCCACATGCTGGCCTCAACATTTAGGTTTCTAAGTTAGACGCCATTCACTTCTATATGTAGTGTTAGGCAGGGATCCATATAATAAGCCAGCTTTCTCTACTCCATATCATCCTTCCTCTGTTGATTTGTGGTGCTATTTTTTCCCTCTATTTTTTATACATACACGCTCTGCTTCTGAGCTCTTCATGGTATAGCTTTCTATTTATTTGAGTCTTCTTTAATAACATAACATTTTTTAAACAAGGTTTTACATCTTGTATGTTTATTCTGATGTATTTAAAATTTTTATTTTAAATTATTATGTTTTAAAATACCGTATTTTACATTATAATACTTTAAAATTATTATAATTATATTTTATTACATTTTCAAGTATTATAAATGGCCTCTTTTTGAAATTTACATTTTTTTAACTGTGGCTGGAATGCAAAAAATACAATTTATTGTTAGTTCTGGTCACTTAGCAGTAAATTCCTTTGAGATTTCTCCACAGATAATCATATTATATATGAAAGATAACTTTATTTCTTCCTTTCTAATTCTTATATCTTAACACCGTTTATTTCCTTTTCTTCTTTGAATGAACTGGCTAGGATATTTTTCTGCATCTTTTGAGGTGGGTCATTTTATTTTATTTTTAATATCCCTTTATAGGTGAATATAAGTACATTGATTTTCTAATGTAAAAAACAACCTTATATTCCTAGGATAAATTCAACTTTGTCTTAGTGATCTTTTCTTCTACATAGGTAGATCTGTTAGGCTAATACTTTCCTTTATATTGTTGCTTCTATGTTAATGAATATACCAATATATTTTAATTTTAGCATTTATTAGGAAGCACCCTCTACATTTTGACAAATAATATCCAGAGACTTATGGTATAAAAATCTTACGTTAACTTTTTTTTATGTATATACACAGATTAATCCAAAGCTTGAGGTAATCGATTTGCAGATCTCTACTCCCCCTGTTGTGGACATTCTTTCTTTTGATTCTACCACAGTAAGTTTTTTTGACATTAAAATAGTATTTAATTGTTTAGTACAAGCTACTCTCCTTAAAAACCGTGGTGGGCTATAAAATGTGGGCTAATAGATACCCTAACGTTTTAGCATAAAAAGAACCTCGTATTATTTACAGTCCAGTGTACCTAAATAGCCTCAAGAGGGAGCAGCTCCCATTTCCTGAAGAGCTTTACTTTGTAGGAACCCTGAGCTCAATCTAAGGTGGCACTTAGGTGACATATTGCTGTCACAGAGTAGACCATGTTCCCTACTTTGTTATTTGTCTTTCAGAGCTGCTAAACTTACTTCTAGTCTTCTCACTAAAAGCTGTAAGAGCAATCATTTCTTGATTTCTTTTGGATTATCCAGAAGTTAAGAAGTATTTCTAAAACTTGCAATTTTATTTATAAAAAATAGAGATATATATATTATTTACTGTGTGTATCGGAATATTTAGAAATTCAGACTTACAACGTTTCAGTTTATGAAGCTGCTTAATCTTTTCAAATCATTGGTTTGGGGTTAAGCTAGTGAGGTCCATTTAGATAGTCTTTACAGTCTGGAATATAGCCACTTGCCTCTAGGCAAAGTTTAAAGATTTCCTTTTATTAGTATATTTTAAGACATAGATGTTTATAAAGCATTTAGGATTTTTATAAAGACCCTCCCTACAGGGTATTTCTTTAAAATTTCAATGCATACTTCTTTTTTTTTTTTTTTTGGAGAGAAAGAGATTTTTGCTATAAGGGCCCATATGCTCCCCAGAAGAGAGACAGGGAGACAAAGCGAGAAATCAACCACCTCCCCCCCTGGGGGGATGGCCACATCACATTCCTTCTCCTTCTCCTCCATTCTCCTGTCAGGATTTCGGGCATGCATGCTTACACATTCACTGTGAGTTTGAAGCCACTGACTGGGTCCAGGACTCAAACTGCAGTTGGCCACATGGGAGTTCTGTGATGTACCCACTATGCCATCTGCTGGTCGCTCAATGCATACATCGTTTAGTTTACTGATAGGTAATTGGTTAAAAAACTAAAAGTGAAATTACTTCTGTAACTGTTTGCCTTCCCATTTATGTAGTGCCGATTTGTAATATATAGTCTCTTCCATACATTAACTATTTTTATTTTGCTTCTGCACAACAAATCATACATAGTTGTAAAGATTTTTTTCTGCTTTGGCATAAATATTGGATTGAATATTTTTGGTGTAGATTGAAATTTTTGCATATTCTTATAATATCCCAGGGGAAATTTTAAAGTAAAAAAAAGCCGTGTTTAAAGGTAGTTTTTATTTTTCTTAGTGTGGTTACTGTTACTTTTTGGATATTATTGTAGACTAGAAGAAAATGTCCTTAGAAATTTAATCAAGATGAGATATTAAAAAAAAAAAAATTCTCCAAGTCTTAATCTGTCTAGGCCCGCAGGTGGCATGGTGGTTAAGGAGCTGGACTCCTTTATGACTGACCATAGTGCAAGTCCTGGACTTGACAGCTTGAAACTCACTCTGGAAACGTGTGTGTGGATGCCCAAAATTCAGGAGGAGAGTGAAGGAGAATGGATCAAAGCATGGCCATTACCCCAGAGGGTGATTTCTCACTTTCTCTTTTATTTTTATCTCTCTCTGGCGAGTACACACACCCTGTGGCAAATATCCTCTAAAGAAAACTTAATTTGTCTTATATTTTAGTAGATTAAAAGCAGTTTTGTTAAGGTTTCAGAAAATAGTTGGCTTCTGATCCTGTTTTGCTCAATTTAGTATTATATTCAGGATGCTTTGGAGACCTATATGTAATAATATCTTATCTAAGCTCTGATGTCTTTTTGCTACAGAGAAGAAATTAAGGCATACAGTGTAATCCTTGGTATCCTTATGGTTTATACTGGAGTTTCCAATGCCAGGCAGGAAATCTGATACAATTTGGGGGAATCAAAATAAGACGTTGCCAATCTGCAATTTTTGTTTTGTTTTGTTTTGGCTAGTGGGTGCATGTGCTCACCAGTGAGAAGGAGGGAGAAATGAAAACACACCTCATTGGGAATGATCACCATGATCCCTTCTCCTCCATCTCCCTTTCCTTTCAGGATATTTTGGGCATGTACTCACATGTACTGACATGTTTCAGAAACACTAGATCCAGAACTTGAACTGCTGAGCCATGTGAGATCCAGCACCTTAGCCACCAGGCCTCAAAGCAGGCCCCCATTCTGTATTTCTAAAGCTATGTTTGATTGTTTGTTTGTTTTTAAATGGTGTAAAGAGAAACTCTGTGTCATATAGACTTAATTTTAAAATATGAAGTTTTCAAGTTCCCTAATCTTTTTTCTGATTATATTGTCACTTGTTATGTACTAATTTCCTAAAGAATTTTTTTTTTCAGTTCAAGATTTCACTTGAGTCTTTAATGTTTTCACTTATTTAGTTGTAACTAGGCCAGGATTCTGTCATGAGAATTGTGCTAGGGCATTTAGCATTAGCATTGACATGTGATGTGGCTACATGGGATGTTCCAAACCCCTCCTCTTCCACCACATCCCCTAAAAGGCAAGCAGGACAAGAATTTCCATATCCTTATACAAGGTTTTCCTTTAAATAAAATTTATTTTAAAATACTTTATGATTATTAAAAATTTTGTTATTTTTCAGCGAATTGTTATAGTCTTACATTTCAATATATCTCATTATTATTTGTTCTACAAATGAACAAAATGGAGTTGATAATCCTGCAGTTGTTCCTTTGTGAAAATACTGGACTTCTGACATAGCTGACACAGTGTTCTCATCTTCATCCTGGCAACCACACAGCATATGAGCAAAACATGCATGCCTTCCTTAGAATTAAGGACAGTATTTCAGGTCATATTTGTTATTTATGTTAAGCTGAGAACTCACAATTACATTGTAGGAAAATCCAAAAGTCTACAGTCTTTCGTTGCTTCATCAGTCAAAACATTTAAAGACATACTGTATGAAGCCATTACATGAGATGCTGGGGAGGTGTAGACAGAAATAATCAAAAAATAAATGTCAGTTTCTATATAGTAGAGCTTACATGTAGGTGATTATCAATGAAAAGTTGTTTGAGCACTCAGAAAAGATCATTAATGGGCTGGAGGAAATTAGAGGGCTTTTCTAAAAGAAACTTTTAACCAGAGATGAGTAAATCTTTTTTTTTTTTCCATTATTTATTTCGTGAGAGGAAAACAGAAAGAGAAAGAGGTAAGCACCTCCAACAAAGTCTTCATTGCCACAATCCCGTCTCTGGGCTCAGCCAGCCAGAATCATGGGCACCCACTTGGCATGCACATAGAGACCTCAGGATGTAAAACTGGGACCTTTGATGGATGGCATTTTGTTGGGGGCATCCCAGGTGGAGAAAGAAGGTATTAGTAAATGCCTCAGAGCAATTGATGAAACATGCCACAGTAATAAAAGTGTAGCAGACTAATTTAGGGTCTTTAAGTTGCCTAGTTCAACGGAAGGGAGGTATGGTAGAATCCAGGGTGGATGCCCACTCACAGAAATGTGTCTCTCAATATTTACTGAATAACTGTTTTGAGCCATTCACCGTTTGTGGCTTTAGAGAAAGTGAAAGAAACAAAAATGCATGTCCTAAGGAAGCCTACGTTCTACATTCTAGTCAGACAGGCAATTCACAGGTTAATAAAGTATAGTACATAGTGTTGTGGACTGAGAAAATGCAAAGGTGAAAGCGGCACTGAAGGCAGGTGGGGAGAGGATAGGAAGAGGGCTGGGACTTTAGGTAGAAGAGCCAGAACAAGAGTCATGTGACAGATGACATTAGAGTAAAGGACTTAAGGAATGAAAGGAGCAAGTCCATGGGTACCTGGGAAAGTCACCCCAGGTAAGTAGGAACAGTGGTAGAAATCCAGGTCGCGAGTGACAGCAGACTTGCGAGAACTTTCTGCAGAGGAGGAGCGTGGTCTGAGTTATGTCTTAATGTCTTAATGGGTTCAGCCTGGCGTGAACAGGCTAGGTGGTGATAGGGGAACAAGGATTCTAATTAGGAAGCTAATGAAATAATCAGACAGGAGGCAGTAGTGGCCTGACTCAGGGTGGTAGCAGAGGAGGTGGTGATAAGCCACTGGATTCTGGATGTATTTTGAAGGCAGAGCCAAGAGGATTTCCTGACAGATTGGATGTCAGCTGTGGGATTCCCTGTCTCCTTTCCCTAGGGACTGTAAGGTGTAGCCCAGAGTAATCTCAGGATAGCTGAGAATATCTCCTGGCTCAGCATCGTTTTGGCAAACGGGCTGATAAGTGAAAAAGAATCGTGGTTTTCCTGTCTTCTGTTCTAGGATCTGGAAAGCAATCCGTTGAATCAGTGCAAGAAGAACCCTTCTGTTTCTGAAACTTTGGGAAGCACCCTCTTCCTTCCTAAATATCATTTAGATGTGTGTTTTTTGGCCAAGGGCATTGACTTCTCTTTTGGAAAGATTGTTTATCAAACTGGTTTTAGAAAGAACAAGGTCACACACTTTCATGGAGATTGTCATACGGTATACCTGGAAAATATTAATATATTGACGAAATACATGGACAAAGTAACCGTGCAGATACAGAGAGAATAATTTCTGTGGATGTTGTGGCAACAGTTCATCCTGGTTACTAGACAACATTGCGTAACTACTTCAGAGTTATTTCAGTTCCTAACTGCTTATGTAAGCAAAGATTTGGAAAGACTTATTTGAAAGGACACAGTGTATGCAAACTTACAAATGTCTTCAACTAAAACGTATAACTTTGTAAGTGTAAAATGGTCATAGTCATCTGGGAAAATTGATGAATATCATGTTACATGAACCCCGTTGCCCTGCTGCTTTGTATACTAACTTCCCTAGATTTACATAGAAGCATTCTTTAAATTGGGCATAGGTAAGGTTCTATTTAAAATTTTTAAATATTGCAACAGCTTATAAGGCGGAATTTGATTTGTATGTTTTGTGCGTCTGACCAGGTGTGGTTTAACTTCAT